ATATCTACATAATTGTTCTTTTCGTATTTCATTTTTCCATCATTGACATTATCAATTTCTACTTTTAACTGCTTACTTCTCTTTTCATTATACTTTATCATATCTATCTTATTCTTCACATATATACTATCACTTTGATTCCTTTTGATCTCCACTACCAATTCACAATCATGGGCAGAATATTTATCACAGCAAGACTTTTCATTATAGAATTCATTGTATTTATTATTTTTTATATTTACATCACATGTTCTTTTGACACTTCCCATTTCACTTCTAACGATTTCTGCTCTACCATCTGCAGCTTTATCCCCATTATCACCATTTTCAACCCCAACCTCATTATAATATACATCAGATGCCTCATTCCTATCGATTATTTTTTCTCTATCGAATACTAATCCTTGATCATCATCCAATTTTTCCTATCTCTTCAACATTTTCCCCAAAACTTCTATTAACGTATCCATTTTCATAACTACATTCAATGGCGCTTCTATCAATACCATTGCTTCATCAGTTTGGTATTGTTTAATATTATTCGCTCTATCAATATTACTAATATCATCAGATTTTTGATGTTGAGCAAATGCTTCATATTTATCACCTTTAGCATTCTATCCTTCAAGCCTATACATTGCATCAGCATTTTCAAGATCATGTTTGGTAATTATCACGTCAATATTACCTATTTCAGCAGATTTTATACTCCAGTCGAATGCTGTTATTTCATCCTTGGTTGTATATATGCTATTTTGATAGCATGATCTATGATTATTACATCTATTCGAACCTCTATCTTCAGAAGATTTTAACCACTACTCTACTGCTTTGATATTTTTTGATAGTTTATGCTCATTCTTTTCATCTCTGATCACATTCTGATAACAATTTTCAATAGCATTTTGGCAATAGATAAGTGCTTTATTTTTGTTTTTTTTATTTTTATTTTCTTTGTTATCAAGATATCCACTACTCCATGATTCATTAACGTTTTCTTTATCAACAGGATCATCATGACCCATATCATCCCAGAACTATTCGAATAAACTTGTCTTACAACTTGGTGCATCAAGCTTCGGGTCTTTGTTGGATACTTTATTTCCATACATACCAATGTTGTCTTCTTTTTCTGCACTATCATCCAAATACCACCATACTAAGTCCATTTTGTAGGCCATTAATACAATCAATTGGCAAGATTAATGGTAATCTGCTCAGGTTCTCATGTTGCAGGTTAATAGAACCCTTTAGTTACTAATAATCTAGCTCAAAAGTAGGCACTTCTCCAACCGTCAACAATCTCGATACTTTGTTTCTTCAACCGGGATGAGTATTTTACTTTTTACGATTTATGTTTGCAGGTAATAAAATTATTAATTCACTTTATTTCGCTTGTGCCTTTAAATACAAATTTTTACTATCGCTACATTATATAATTATTGATCATGCTATTTTATCTTCTTAATTGTTTATTACTAATCACACCATTTTCTATTAACTCTATTATGACATTTTTCATACACCATTTATTAATTACCATCAAATTCATACATATCGATAACCTTACTTCAGTATACTATTACGTTATACTGACAGTTACATAATTGATCGTTATTTGATTCTTGATTTCCGATCACTTACTCATCATGTGCATCATGTGTACAAGATATCGATTGATCATTCATTTTACCTTTATTTCCATACAAGTTCACCGCATACTGTATATCATCACGATAGTAGCGATGTTTTAGGAAAATATATGTGTTAAAAATTTTGTACTGCAAATTTTTTGTTAAAAATATGCTGTAAAGCAGTATTAATAGTGCTAGTTTGTATTTTGTGCCATGTATATTCAAGAGTTTTTGAAGTGTCTATAGATTATGGTGTCTTGTTAGCTCTAAGATTGGAGGAAATTTGATTAGAAAATATTTGCCATTGTTTATTGTTCATATTTTTATAGAAAAACATTCTTCTTTGAGTTTTGGTTACAATTTTATGTTTGTCTATAAGGGTATAAAGGAATATCCAAGAAGAAATTAAAATTTTGTGGTTACTTTTGGTACTAGTATTAGGATCATCTGTATTGAAAAAGTTTAGATAATAGAAAATTGAATAGTTGGTCCAGATATAGTTGATAGTACTGTAAGATTTGCTACTTTGCCACATGCTAGTCAATGATTAAATATGAGTAGCCAGGTTGTACATATTGTTGTATTGAAGATACTGAAGTAGTTTATATTTAATTGAAAGAGAGTATGAGTTATGTTCTGGAGCATTAAAATCTCCTAGAACAATAGTTTGTAAGTTAGCTATGTTTGCTTGTTGTATTTATTATATAATAGTATTTTGTATTTGTAATCTTAGTTAAAAGTCATCGCAAGATAAATATACTGAAATAATTTCAAACTTAAAGTCATGCTTAAAGAAGATATCTGTAGCAATTGCATATCCTGGGAAGGTAAAGATTTTGTGAATATGGGGTTTAATCCAATTGTTAATCATAATAGCTATACTAGCTTTAGAGCTACTAGTACAGGACTAGTAGTAAGTAAAATGTTTAGATTTTTGTAATTTGATAATAGATTTGTATTAGCTATATTAGTTTCAATAATACTGATAATGTTTAGATTATTGGAAAGACAAAAATCTTCCCAGACTTGTTGCTTAAGATCAACATTATATCCTTGTATATTATGTGTACATATAAATAGGTTGAGTGCTTGATTAAACTTAGAGTTGCTTGGGTAGTTATTAGTAAATTGATTAGTTTTGGATAGAGGTAAAGAGAAAATAGATGTATTGGATTGTGATTTTAAAGAAATATTATAAGAATCATATATAAATAAAATATAGTAGTTGGGAAGTATTTTAGTTTCATGTGGCAAATATATATATGCTTCTGTTTTATCACTATTAATTGTAATAAAGATGTAGTATGCAAGATACTTGGCATTGTTTGTATTAGATATTGCAAAAAGAAGTTGATAGTTTGTGGTTCTCTTAATAAAGATAGTTGATAGTAAGTAAGAAATTTGTTATAGCAAATATCCAAATCATAGGGGTCTAAAAATATTGGTGATAATTTGGAAAATAATATCTCTTCTGTAAGGTCACTCACTATTTTAAGCTCAGTTCTCATAGCTATGCAGG